CAGGTAAAACACTCATATCCACAAATTTTTAAAAAAATATTAAAAAGTCAGATCTATTTGTATTATAAAAATAACTAATAGGCCTCTTTGAGTTTACATTTGATTTAAAATATATGTTTAATTAAGGGAAAGAAATTTGAAAAGTAATAATTTGACAATTTTACTTAGTTTTATCTCCTTTTTATTTTTGGGCACTTGTAAGTCTGAGCATACTTCAATAAAATAATTATACAAAAGGTAATGCATTTGTGAAGTTATGATAACAAGCAATACTAACTTGAAGATACGTGAATTCTCTTGTGAATTACTGCAATTATAATGATCAAAGACACTAAGGAAAAAAAAATCACATGAATAATACTCAATAAACCGGGGGAAAAAATACTCCTATTGATACCAGTGTCTGCTTTGTCCTTAATGTGGTGAACTAATCTGATATTCTCTGTCCTAATATCGTAGTCAAACACAGAAACTTTCATTTAAAATGTAAGTAAAATGGAAACAGGCAAAATTACAAAACTGTAATTTGCAGGATTTTGCACTGCATAGAGTTTTAACTTATGAAACATAGTATAAATATCAGTGTATAGTACAGAAATTTTGAGGACGTACAACAACAACAAAAAATTTACACTGTTTTAAGGGATACAAAATCGTGATTAAACAGAAGACTCCAAAATGGTTATTAGAGGTGTCCGAAAACGTTCTCGCACAGTAATTTCTTGGAACACTGTACAAGGGGCAGAAGAATAGCAAGGGAACCTAAATGAGATGAAATCTCTGTTTCAGAGAGAGAGGTGTTTTTAACCGAATCTTGAAGTAGATTTATAGATAAAAAGGTCGTCTGCAGTAGATGAGGAGATAAGTATGAGGTTTAGGCAATATGAAACCATAAAATAGCTTCTGTGCAATTTAGAAAATGGTAAGCTCTGGTCTCTTCATATTACATCAGATAGAGAAAAAACAAAAACAAAAACAAAAAACAAACAAACAAACAAAAACAACTGTGGATTTAAAAGGTGTCCAGGCAAGAAAAAAACATACATACTTAAAAATATTTCAGGCACTAGAGAGATGGCTCAGTGGTTAAGAGCACTGGCTCTTGCCTAAGACTCTGGTTTGGTTCTCAGCACCCAATGGCTAACTAACAAATATTATTCAATCCAGTGCCAGGTGATCTGCTGCCCTTTTCTGACATCCATGGGCATTGCATACATGGGTGCACTTATGGACCATATGGAACAACCTCTCATAGGCCATATATATATATAGGACTAAAGGTGTGGGTCACTCTCGATGAGCATATAAATTTATTTTTTTTTTCAGACAGAGTCTCACTACGTAGCCCCAGCTGGCATGGAACTCACTATGCAGACCACCTCAGGCTGGCCTGGATATCAAAGCAATTCACCTACCTCTGCCACCGTAGTGTTGGATTAAATGTGTGAGCCACCATGCATGACCATATGAAATTATTTTAATTAGTTATTTGAGTCATTTTAAAATGTATTAAATAATGCAGAATCAAGTATATATGACTTAATATAATGAATTTACATTTATAAATCTATATATTTATATATCTCAGCAAAATTACTTTTTAATTTTTTATGTATGAGAATATTGCCTGCATGTAGGTAGGTGTACCCATGTCCTTCAGTGCCAGTGAAGAGAAGAAGAAGGCATCAAATACCCTGGAAGTAGACTTATAGATGTTTACTAGCTGTCATATGGGTGCTTGGAATTGAACCCAGGCCCTATGCAAGAGAAGTCAGGGATTTTAACCACAGAGCAATCTCCCCAGTCCCTCACCAAAATAAATTTTATAGACACATTAAAGTCATGCTCAGGGGGCTGGAGACTTGACACAGTATTAAGAGCACTGGCTCCTCTTGCAGAGGACCCAGGTTTGATTCCCAGCACCCATATGCTGGCTAAAAACCATCCTAACTCCAGCTCCAGGGGATTCAATGCCCTCTTCTGACCTCCATGGTCATTGTGTGACATGAGTGCGCTTACACACATTCAGGCAATACACTCAGCTACATTACAAAAAAGACTCATGGCCAGAGCTACTATGATAAAACCTTAACAATGAAGCAATAAAACTTCCCAGTACTCCACAGTGATTGTCAGATGTTTTGGAATATGATTACAGGAAATTAGAATTAATATATTCTGAGTAAACATTAATTCAAATAATAATTTTAAAGTGGTTAAATTAGATCATTACCAAATTCTACTTAAACATTTAAAATATTTTATTATTAGTCTGTAACCTCCTTTCTTTATTCCTTCAGCAAATTTAGCTTTCTTCCATCTTTGTTTTCCCCTTTTTATCTGGGAAGATCTCTTCATATATTAATAATGTACATAATACAAGTTGACTTTAACCATCAAGTGTGCATAATAATTCTTGACCAAATGGCTGCCCAAAAGGACAAGAAACAGTGCAACAAATGCCATTGTTATTAAGGAAAATTGACTTTCTCACCTATTTTCTTCAGATGATCCAGTTCTCTTCATAATTTTTACCACTGGAGTGTGGTAAACGAAGCTGGTGGGAAAAAATATCCACTATCAATTCCATAAGTACCTGCATTCGATATTTAGTGAACACCATCAGTGAAACAGACCTTTTTCTGCAAGTATCTCAGCAGTATGAATTCTATTCTTATATAGCTTGTATTTTAATTAAAGGAATAAAAATGTAAATAATAAGCACTAAATAAGGTCATAACATTCTATTATCATGGCAAAAATAATGACAAGAAGAAAGTGTTGAAAGAGCTTGGAAATCTAAGATTTGAGAAACAGAAGAGATGTTACTATTTCAAATATGTCATGTAGCAGAGGACCCACCATTCATGGACTGGGATCAGATAACCGTATCTGGATGAATACCTTCTCTGCCAGTGCTAAGGCAGGAGCCTCTATGCCATGTTAGAGAAATAGCACGAAGTCTATTATGTTTAGAATTGAAGAGGAGGAGAAGAGGTCAGAGACTATAAATTATTCTTATTGTAATTAAGAGCCTTTGGAAGGTTTTCAGTTGCAGAATGACTTAATGTAATTTATAATTTGAGAGGTTTACTTAGGCTACACTTTGGAGTCCAAGCTGCAGATGGTCTCAGAAACACTGCAATCAGTTAGAAGGACATTGAGTAATCAGGAGAGCTGATGGTGTCTTGGACAGATACCTACAGTGCCTTCTGCTTCTTGAAGAGATGACAAGCAGGATAAGAACATGTGTCTGATCAAAGTTTTGAATTTCTGTTTCTTTAGTTGGATATACTTAAGGAGAAGACAACATCAGTGACACCTGTTGGTCATGTATATATTCTCATTATTCTTACTTGAACCTATTATAAACCAACTGTTTAAGTTTTACGGTAAGTCCAATAAGGCACCACTTTACAGAATCTTGTGTGGTTACCTTCCAAAGCAACCAATACCTGGCACATTATTTCATAGGCTGCCATAGCAAAAGCCTGCAAACTATATACTTTCCAGCAACAGGGATTATTGCTTGTTTCCAGAGTCTAGAAGTTAAAATTTTCAATCAAGGAGTCAGCAAGGCCATGTACCCTCCAAAGGTTCTAGTGAAGAACTCTGCATGTGTCTTCTGACTTCTTTGAACTTTTGTCTCTCTTGGTCTTAAATAATGTAACTTTATTCTCATTTCATGTTCTCCTTTCTAGAGTATAATTCTGCTTGTTCATGCAATGGTATGGGGCTACAGTAAGTAAAGTGCTTGCTGCACAGACATGAGTTTGATCCCTAGCACCAGGTGTGGATGCAAGTGCCCGTGTCACTAGAACCGGGAATATAGGGATAGGAGCACCTTCAGGGTTTGCTGTCCAGTCACTCTACTTATTTGTAGAGTTCAGGTTCAGTAAGAGACGCTGTCTCAAAAGAAGAAGACACCTGACATATACCTCTGGCTTTCATGTGCACAGACATGAACATGTACCATACACATGCATACACAAAGGATATCAGTTACTGGATTTATGATTCATTACAAATCTAGGATGAATTATTTTGAGATTCTTAGCTAACTTCTCCAAGGACATTCTATTAAATAAGAATCATTTATGAGGATTCATGTTAACATGAGTTTGACAAAGACAGCCTTTGGCACACTGTACAGTGGGTAGGTCAAAAGGAAAGAGTGCCTTCATTGAAGGTTGTGGCTGAACTACTCCAAGAACAACTACCCCATTGCACATCTCTCCAAAACAACCAATGAGTTTCCACTTCAAGGCAAATTAAATATATTACATTTCTGGAGCTAAAATGGAAAACAGAAACCAAACTGTTGTCAATAGTTCTGAAAATCTTTTTTTGTTTCAGAGATAAATTTAGAATTGTGTGTTAAACTAATCATTGAATATAATTTCTGTATTTCTAACATTTTTTCTGTATGTAAGATTTTCTTTAAGCAGATTATGCATTTATACTAATGACATAATTATAACCTTAATTATAAATAATTTTGCAAGTAGGAGAAAAATTATATTCTATATAGTGAAAATTACTAAAATGTACTTTGAGTAGGAATCTTCAGCATTGTAGAATACATCAATTATGCTGGAAACAATGTGTGCTTAACTATTAAGACTTCTGTCCATGGTATTCTTACTAGAAATAAAAAATAAATATACTGATCATATATGAAAATTTATGCTGTTATTTTTCAAAATATGTATTTGAATTTGTAGTGAAATTCAGAAGCCAACATTCTATGTTTGTACATCATTACACATTTGTAGATGTATAACAATGTCATAATGCACATACTGGAAGTCCTTTTTGAAAAATTCATTTTTTTATTGTAATGATACCTACAATATGATCTACCATCTTTAATTAATACACAGTTGATTGCATTCTTTGTAGACAGACCTGACATAGGAGAGGACTCAAATCAACCAACAAAGCTGGGGATTGTGGATATCACACAGTTTTATTCTACTCCAAACTTTTTTTCTTTTCAGGCCCTAAATATTTGGCATAGATATGGCCTCAATAAAAAGCAAAGAAGACTCAAATTGTTGAATTACAGAATGAATGAACAATGTCTTCATCTCTAGAGAGAGAAGGTAAAAATATGGTTTGGTTTTGTTTTAATGTTTTATGCTTTTTCTTGTCACTAAATCTAAGGCTGTGCTAATATAAGTCCCTGTCACCTCCTCCCACCCAACACCCAGCTTGCACCTATAGCAGCTATAAGATTGTTCTGCTAGTTCTTTGGGCAAGGAAACCTTGGCGATGTTGGGGCATTGGAGAAGTTGGGGCATTTGGTAACCTAGCATCATCTAGCTATCTCTCCCCAGGGAGGAGTTTAGAGCTCAGAATTTTGCTATGTTCACTCTCCTGACAGTTGTGGTTGTTATGCACCCTCAGGTGGCTTTTGTATTGACAAAAGGACTCCACTGGGGAGACCTGACTTGCAATTCAGAAGGGAATTTCATTGAGACTAAAAGATTGCACAGAAAAAAAATGATGGGATTAAAATCCCGAACCAATACTCCCCTCCCCCAGTGCCCCCGTACTCCATCCAACTCCTGCCATCAGAGAACTCAGGAACAGAATGGTGACTTTCTAAAAAGTATGTGGTGCTGCTTGTCAGCTGTAGTGAAGAGTGAAGTGAACCAAAATATCCCTGCAGTCTGTGATGAATCTGTTTTCACATTCAGATGCAGTGCATGAGGCTTTCAATTAGGTTGGTGAGTTCTCAGAAAAGGATTTTGTTGTAATTGTTGATTATGGACTCTGTAGTTATGTGAAGATTTCAAGGTTTTCTGTAACAATTTTTTCTAAAATCACTTTTATTTTAGAACTATTAAAGTCTTGAAACTGAATTAATTCATTATTAAATACAGCCTATAGAATATATATGTAAACCAAAAATTAAAATATTAACTCTGAAATGCTTATACATTTGTTTTCATAAGCTATCTTATCATGAAAACTCAAGTAAAAATATATGGGCTCTTTTCTCATTTGTAATTGTGGTTTTGAACCTCCCTAAATCTGGGATTACAGGCAAACAGCACCGTCCCAGGAAACAGCCGTGGCATTTGCATGCACTTTTATCCTGGAGGACTTTGCTAAATTGTAACTTATAGTAAGAATATATTTTATATGCTGTGCTATGGTGTGAGTATCCATGTCTCTCTAAATTCATATGCTGAGATTTAATCCCCAGGACAGTGGTGCTAAAGGGTTAGACTTTGGGTGAAAATGGGGTTAGTATCCCTAGAAAGAACTCAGGGTCAGAATGGTTTGTCCCCAGGCAGTTGTTGTGGGAAGATCCAGCCAAAGGGTGCCATGTTTGAAAAACAGAGACTGAAGTCTCATCATCTACTACATCACAGATTTCCAACCTCCATAACTGCAAGCAATATATTTTTGTTTTCTAAATAAATTCTCTACTATAGCATATGCTGTTGCAGCAGTTTAAAACAATTAAGATGTGTTCCCACTGCCCTTTCTACCAGTAATAATAGCAAAGTATTGATATATTAGATTTATGGAGAATAGTAATAATAAAACAGCAATCAATTACATTTTAACTATTTTCATATATGGAAATTTATATAGCATGTTACAGTCAGGCCTATGGTAGGACTCTGACTCAGATAATAACAACAACAGCAATACTTGTGAAAGAAATAGGAAGATGCCTCAGTTTCTACTGTGTAAGCATGAAGCCAAGTTCTAATTGACAGCATTGATAAAAAGAAACAGGGTATTGTGGTACATGTGGTACATGTCTGTGACCCTAGTACTGGGAAGCAAGGTCATCAACAGGTAGATCTCTTAACCTTTTAGCCAGCTTAGCTGAATCAATGAAATTCATGAAGAAATCCTATCTCAAAGAATAAAGATGGAAAGAAGCAATTGAGGAAGGATATCTGAATTCAACATCTGGCCTACACATGAACATGTACACATGTACATGGGGACCAGCATGCGTGCACACACACACACACACACACACACACGCACACACACACTAACAAATATACATAAACTGCAAATACATAACACAATATACACATATACATTTTTCATCTTTTTGTGCCAAAAATTCAAAATAAATTGCACAAATATAGACAATTATTTAATTCCAACTCATTCAAAGGGATAAAGAGAGTATGAAGTTCAAAAATAACTACTCAAAGGATCAACATCATTTTGGTGAGCTAAGATTTTGTCTGACTTTAAATAAAATATAATTTTTATTTTTAATGTAAATGTTTCTAAAATCTAACCAAAGAGTGTACAGCTGGAACTGATGCGCTTTCAAGAAACACAACTATGTCACACCCAAATATTTAAATAGAACATTCCTAATATCTACAAAACAAATTTTGTCTTTATTTGAACCTAATATAGGTGAAATTGTTGCATCTGGCTTACATTATTCAAAATTATTTTGAGGAGATTCATCCATTTTGACTTGTGTAACTTTTATTAGCATATTTTAATTTTTGATAACAATTCACTATTATTAATACTATGCCAATTCCATAATAAGTAAGCATTTGAATAGGGTATCTGGGATAATCTGTGCATACCAATCTTTGAATATGTATTGGACAAACACCAAAAATTTGTGAAATTTCTAGAAAAAAAGTAAATGTCCATATTTTACTTTTAAAGACATTGAAAATTCCAATAAAACAATTGTACAAGCTCACACCCAGTTGTTCAAAATGCTTAGAAATACTTGTTGTTTTCTTGTTTTTTCTCAATATCTGTAACAGTGCATGAATAATGATGATAGTTTGGGATGTTAATTGCATTTCCTTGATGAGAAACAACAAAAATATTTTCACAATTATTAACAACTTTTAAATCTTGTTTGATAAAGATTTTGTTCATTTTTTCTATGTTTTGTATAACTTCTTTATTTCTTTCTATATAATTATTTTTTCATAAATGTTATTCTCATTAACATGAGCAAAATCACTTTAAATCTGTGTCAGGCATTTTGTCCCCAGTTGGTGGCACTGTTTTGGGTGGCCTTAGGAGGCGTGGCTATCCTGGAGGAAGCCTGTCACAGGGGGAAGGTTTAGAGAGTTCTTAAGCCTTGCCAGCTCTCCGGGTGCTTCTCTTGATTCCTGTACCTGCTTAAAGATGTAGAGCATTGCTTCCACTCCTGCTCAACACCTCTGGCATTCATGCCTCTCTGCCATGACAGACTGTTATTCCCTTGGAACTGTAAGCTCAAATAAATTCCTCCTTCTATAAGTCAAAAAAAAAAAAAAAAAAATCTGTGTCAGGGAGCTGGAGAGATGGCTCAGTGGTTAAGAGCACTGCCTGTTCTTGCAGAGGACTCAAGTTTGTTTCCCAGCACCCACATGGTAACTAATAAGTGCAATAACTCCAGTTCCTGGGGATCTAACACCTTCCTCTGACCTTCATGGGGCTTACATAACATGGGTGCATCCTAATTGACTATTTTAAAAAGAAAGCGGGTATTCTGCTGCTATGCTCTCCAATAATGTTATCAGACAATTGCTACTTCTAAGAAACGATCTAAGATTGGAGGGGTAAGGAAGAAAAATAGTTTGTCTTGAATGAGGAAATATGCCTTGCAAAGCAAGAAGAGTAAGGAAAGGCTGAAACAAACTTGTGTAGTGAATTAGTTGCCTAGTGAATTAGTTCAATTAACTGTCCCTTAAGTGATGTTAAACAGTATTCATGAAGCCATAAGAATTGACATTCAGGTTGACTTGAAACTGACAATAAATAAATATATTTTAATCTAATGTTTTCTGCTTCTGTTACTTTTCTGATATAATTGCCTCCTTTTCTGGGATCTGTGTACCACTTATCTTTAAACATGTGCATAAAAATTAAAGTAATCCTTAAACTGTCCACATACTGTTCTGCACTGCAAGGCAAATTAACAATGTTTATATTACTTTATCTTATAAATTGTAATTTATATACTCTTGTAGTGTTACAACTTCCTTCCATGTCAAAAGTTAATTCTCTTAGTTTCCCTAAATGAATACTGCTCATATATATTTTAGCAAGCGTTAAGATGTAAAAGATAGAAAGAAATGTTTCTTTTCCTAATAAATTCTCATAGGTAAATGTTAAATTACATTTGCTTATACACCATCAATTACTTTTTCTTTTCTTTTTGGAGTAACATTAGAGAGAAAACTCAACATAATGTATTAAAAAATTCTGCTTAGCATTTTCTGGGGTTTTTAACTCTTTTTAAAAAGATTTATTTTTATTTATGTGCATGTGAGTCTGTGTGAGTGTATGCCACATGTGTGTGGTTGTCCATAAGTCCAGAATAAGGTATTAGACAGATTTTGGAGCGGATGTTACTGGCAATTGTGTGTCACCCAGTGTGGATACTGGGAACTGAACTCAGGTCCTCTGGAAGAATAGAAACATTCTTAACTGCTGAGACATCTCCAAATCACAGAGATCTGCCTCCCTCTGCCTTCTGAGTACTGGAATTCTGGAATTAAAGGTGTTAAGCACCACCCTTGGTGAAATATTTTTAAAAAAGGCATGGTGGCACATATCTGTAGTCCCAGCACTTTGGAAGCAGAGGCAGGTATTATTTAATCTGTTTAAGTTATGTTGAATTAAAAGCTAGCTAGTCCTAGTGGTGCATGCCTTTTAAATCCAGCACTTGGGAGGAGGCAGAGGCAGGCAGATCTTTGTGTGATCAATGCCAGCTTGAAATGATCTATAGAGCAAGTTTCAGGCCACCTGGGACTACATAGTGAGACTCTGTCTCAACAAAAACAAAAAGATAAAACAAAACAAACAAAAAACAATAGCCAGCAACTAAAAGTTGGCTCTCATGATGGCTCAGTGAGTATAAAAGTGCATACCAGCCTGACCACCTGAGTTCAACCCTTAGAACCAACCTGATGGTGAGAGAGAACCAGCTCCTGAAGATTGTATTCTAAACTCCATACAAATTCTATGATACTGATGAGACACACACACACACACACACACACACACCCCCACACCCACACACAAGCAAGGAGAGGGGGAGAGGTGGAGAGGGAGAGAGAGAGAGAGAGAGAGAGAGAGAGAGAATCAATAAATA